AATGGTAGAAAGTTTAAATAACCTGGGACAAAAGGTGAATACCAATACAGAAACCATCCAGAAATTGATACAGGAATCTACTCTGATACGGCAAACTGCGGATGAAGTTAAGGAGAAAACCCTTGCTGCTGAATTTAAAGCAATTCAACTGGAGAGAGAGAGAGTTCCATCCATACAAGGACAACTTGATGAACATAAGCTGACATTTGTTATGATTGAACTTAAAGAAAAACAGATGAATTTGAGGATCAGAGCCCTACTTGAGGAAAAGGAAAGTTTTGACTGAGTTCCAGGAGGAGGCAGGACTAACATCGATGGAGAAAGAGAGGTTTTTGGGGGTTAGTATGACCGCCAGAAATGTGAGTTTATTCAAGGACAACTGTGAAGGACGTTGGATTGAAGAGAAGGGGGATTTGGAAATATGGCTAAATCTGAAGCTGTTATTGTTGGGCCGAGTTGCTGTGGTGGGAATGAGGGTTGCTGTGTTCTCGGGGATGTTGCTTTTGTTTCAAGCATTGCAAGCTTTGGATGGGATGGATTGTTCCAGGAGGTGGCAGAGGGACGTCTCTAGATTTGATTGGCAGGGCAGGAAGCCGCGTGTAAAATTTAAGATATTGACGGATGCCAAAGAAGGAGGTGGACCTGCCCTGCCAGACCCCTAAACTTTGTTGTGAACCATCTGCTTTTTGCTGGCTGAGAGAATGGCTGCTTCCTGAAAGCACTGAAGTGCTGGATAATGGCAGATGAAGTTGATGGACTATATGGAATTGGCGGAAATGACTGGCAAGATCCGAGACCAGGGAGAAGAGTCGGGGGAAGAAGACTGGAAAAAGTTTAAAGACTATTTATAGAAATATGGTAAAATTAATGAATGTTAGAAGAATGTTGGAATGAAGTTATATGGCTTTAGTAGAAATGCTATAAGGAATTAAGTAAAAATAGATTAATAGAAAATTAAAGGAAAAAATAAGGCAAGAATGTGTTAAGATAATTAAAGGATAGAAAACAGGAAGATGGAAAGGAATTGCTGAAACAATAAATAGAAGTGGAATACAAAAAGGGAGGTGTGAGGAGGTCGTTGGAAATAAGCGAATGAAAGATAGGATATTGAAAATGTTTGAGGTGTTTTTAAATTGTTTTTGTATGCTTTTGTTTTGTTTTGTATGTAGTGTTTTTGTATTGTATTTGTATTGTTCTTTTTTTCTTTTTTTCTTTTTTCTTGTAGTGTGTTGAAGTTGTTTGAAAAGTAATAAATATCATTTAAAAAAAAAAGAATTGCTGAGTTTCTTATTTTTTTAAAAAAATCTAACCCTATTTTTAAAATCTACTCCTTACCCTTCCCTTCCTTTATTCAAATGGTAATTTAGCCAAAAGATGCAACATTTTAAATGGTATAAAAGATTTGCTGAGACATGAACTCTGCACATGCACAGAGGTTAGGTCAGCTTAAAAAAATACACTAAATACATCAACAACAAACCAGACCCACCCACCAACCCATCCCCCAGGGTAACGGGAGAGGAGCTAGGTGCTGCTCCTTATATGCTAGACCCAATTGCTGACACAGCTTGATGAACACAACTCAGCAGCACCTGCTATGTTTCACAGCGGTAAAGCTGGGTCTCGTTATTTTGCTCTGGCCCCTTAAAGACATACACATATTAAGGGAGAGAAGAATAACAGTGACCTCATTGTGGGAGTTTACTATAGATCCCCAAGCCAAACGGAGGACATAGATGATGCCTTCCTGGAACAGATGGCCAAGCATGCAAAAGGAAGGGAGATAGTAGTAATGGGGGACTTCAATTACCCAGATATTTGTTGGATGTCAAACTCAGCCAAGAGCATAAGGTCAAACAGATTCCTCACTGCCCTTGCAGACAACTTCATTGTCCAGAAAGTGGGAGAAGCAACAAGAGGAACAGCCATTTTAGATCTGGTCCTAACCAATGTTGATGACCTGGTTAGTGGGGTAGAAGTGGAAGGATCATTAGGCGCGAGTGATCATGCTCTTCTGAAGTTTACTATACAGCGGAAAGGAGCAGCCAAGCATACTAGGACTCAATTTTTTGACTTTAAGAAAGCCGACTTCATAAAGCTTAGGGAAGTGCTGGGTGAGATCCCATGGACAGTAATACTAAAAGGAAAGGGAGTTCAAGATGGCTGGGAGTTTGTTAAGAGGGAGATAGTAAAAGCACAACTTCAGGCAATACCAATGAGACGGAAACATGGAAGGTGCCTAAAGAAGCCAGGGTGGCTATCTAAAGAACTTTTAACTGAGTTAAGATTAAAAAAGGATGTGTACAAAAAATGGAAAAGGGGGGAAACCACCAAAGAGGAATTCAAACAAATAGCCAGCACGTGTAGACACAAAGTCAGAAAAGCTAAAGCACAAAATGAACTCAGGCTTGCTAGAGAGGTTAAAAGCAACAAAAAAGGCTTTTATGGGTATGTTCGTGGCAAAAGGAAGAACAAAGAAACCGTGGGGTCACTCAGAGGAGAAGATGGTGAAATGCAAACAGGGGACACAGAAAGGGCTGAACTCCTCAATGCCTTCTTTGCCTCAGTCTTCTCCGATAAAGAAAACAATGCCCGACCTGAAGAATTTGGAGCAAATGATTCAGCAGAGGAAACACAGCCCAGAATAACTAAGGAGATAGTACAAGAATACTTGGCTAGTCTAGATGTATTCAAGTCTCCAGGGCCAGATGAACTGCATCCAAGAGTATTAAAAGAACTGGCAGATGTGATTTCAGAACCACTGGCAGTCATCTTTGAGAATTCCTGGAGAACAGGCGAAGTCCCGGCAGACTGGAGGAGGGCAAATGTTGTCCCTATTTTCAAAAAGGGGAAAAGTGAGGACCCAAATAATTACCGCCCAGTCAGTCTGACATCAATACCAGGGAAGATTCTGGAGCAGATCATTAAGCAAACAGTCTGTGAGCACCTAGAAAGGAATGCTGTGATCACCAATAGTCAGCATGGATTTCTGAAAAATAAGGCATGTCAGACTAACCTGATCTCGTTTTTTGACAGAATTACAAGCCTGGTAGATGAAGGGAACGCAGTGGATGTAGTCTACCTTGATTTCAGCAAGGCATTTGACAAGGTGCCCCATGATATTCTTGTAAAGAAGCTGGTAAAATGCGGTCTTGACTATGCTACCACTCAGTGGATTTGTAACTGGCTGACTGACCGAACCCAAAGGGTGCTCATCAATGGTTCCTCTTCATCCTGGAGAAGAGTGACTAGTGGGGTGCCACAGGGTTCTGTCTTGGGCCCGGTCTTATTCAACATCTTTATCAACGACTTGGATGATGGACTCAAGGGCATCCTGATCAAATTTGCAGATGACACCAAACTGGGAGGGGTGGCTAACACCCCAGAGGACAGGATCACACTTCAAAACGACCTTGACAGATTAGAGAACTGGGCCAAAACAAACAAGATGAATTTTAACAGGGAGAAATGTAAAGTATTGCACTTGGGCAAAAAAAATGAGAGGCACAAATACAAGATGGGTGACACCTGGCTTGAGAGCAGTACATGTGAAAAGGATCTAGGAGTCTTGGTTGACCACAAACTTGACATGAGCCAACAGTGTGACGCGGCAGCTAAAAAAGCCAATGCAATTCTGGGCCTCATCAATAGGAGTATAGCATCTAGATCAAGGGAAGTAATAGTGCCACTGTATTCTGCTCTGGTCAGACCTCACCTGGAGTACTGTGTCCAGTTTTGGGCACCACAGTTCAAGAAGGACACTGACAAACTGGAACTTGTCCAGAGGAGGGCAACCAAAATGGTCAAAGGCCTGGAAACGATGCCTTATGAGGAACGGCTAAGGGAGCTGGGCATGTTTAGCCTGGAGAAGAGGAGGTTAAGGGGTGATATGATAGCCATGTTCAAATATATAAAAGGATGTCACATAGAGGAGGGAGAAAGGCTGTTTTCTGCTGCTCCAGAGAAGCGGACACGGAGCAATGGATCCAAACTACAAGAAAGAAGATTCCACCTAAGCATTAGGAAGAACTTCCTGACAGTAAGAGCTGTTCGACAGTGGAATTTGCTGCCAAGGAGTGTGGTGGAGTCTCCTTCTTTGGAGGTCTTTAAGCAGAGGCTTGACAACCATATGTCAGGAGTGCTCTGATGGTGTTTCCTGCTTGGCAGGGGGTTGGACTCGATGGCCCTTGTGGTCTCTTCCAACTCTAGGATTCTATGATTCTATGATTCTATGATTCTACATTGGTTCCAGTTACAGATAGGTAGCCGTGTTGGTCTGCCATAGTCAAAACAAAAAAAAATCCTTCCAGTAGCACCTTAAAGACCAACTAAGTTAGTGTATCTAAGTTAGTGTACACAGTGTATCTGAAGAAGTGTGCATGCACACGAAAGCTCATACCAAGAACTAACTTAGTTGGTCTTTAAGGTGCTACTGGAAGGAATTTTTTTTGTTTTGACATACACATTGGGTGGAGCAATGATGAACCTTTACATTTCAAGAAACCATTCAACACACTCTCCGTCCACCAGTTTGTGTCTCTCTCCCTGAGAGACTGCGCATACACAGCTGGAGACTGCGCCTGCATGGAAACGTCCTCTGCTCCTCCCTTGTCAGTCCCCTCCTGGTTCTGGGAGACAAGTGGTGCAGGAGAGGGTGTCCCTTCCCTTGCCTAGTCTGCCTGCTGCTCCTCTTCCTCCAGCTCTGAAGCTTCTCTTGCCTCTGACTCTTGCCTCCTGGCTGCTACAGGTCTCCACAAATCGCTGCTCGCCTCTCCCGAGTCAGACCCCAGACCCCTTTCCCCTGATGCAAAACCATCCGTGTCTGCCCAGTCCCTGGATCCCCTTCACGGCCAGAGATCAGTCCATTAGGCACAGGCAAGAGAAAAAGGTCAATGTCACCAACCGCCACCTCCAACAAACCAGAGAGAAGGCAGCCCAGGAATAAGATCCCAATCCAAACCCCATTACAGAAGCCGCTCCACAGCCACCTGCAAACATACCTTTTCTTCCAACGTCCTTGGAACACACCTGAGAGGGAGACAGAGAAAGAGAGAGGAAAGGTTACATTTTTTATTTTATTTTCTGAATGGGGATAAATATCAATCTGACACAGAGCTTGAGGGGGGGGAGAGACAGGAGGTTGCCCAAATGCCAGCAGGGGAGGGGGGTCCCAAATTCTTTTTCACACACTGGGGTGTGTGTGTGAGTTTGTATGATCAATCGAGCCTCAAAACAACCGTGAGGTGGGTTAGGCTGAGAGAGGCAGAGCCTGTGCTCAAGGGAGTTGAACCCAGTCTCCCAGGCCCAGCCTCTCCCTCTAAACACTTCCCCACTGGCACATTTGGGGAAGGAGACGTGATCTCCAGCTCCACTTGGAGGGCAGGGTGTGGGGCAACAGGGCCTTTTTGGTAGCAGGCCCCAAACCAGAGAATTCCCTTCCCTGGGATAGTGGTTGGCACATGCTAATCTGTCACATGCTTTCAATGCTCTGATATGGGTGGCTGTCATTTATATACGCATATCAGAGTGCATGTATGTGCTGTTCTTTCTGTATGTGTTTTTGGCATGTGTCTTATCTCGAGAAACAATGGAGTGTTACTCCAGGGATGAAGCCACATGGGCAGAAACCACCTCCTTGACCATTGAACCCCCCTCTTGGTCTCGTCCCCTCCGTCCTCAGGAGCCTGTCTTTGCATGCAGGAGAAGCCCCTAACTCATCGAGAGTCTGAGACCCCTTGGCTCCCCTCACCTGGTTCAGCTGGCCAGTCAAAGCTGTTTCCTGGGACTGTGGCCACTGTCACCTGCTGAGAGCTAAGTGCCGGGGGGTGGGGGGGGAGGACCCAAGGTGGACAAACCACCCCAGGAGGAGGACATGGCCCCCACCCTACCCTAACACCTCATACATCCCATAGACAGACAGACAGACAGACAGACTTCTATAATTGGGTCCATTAAGCTCAGCCTGGCCCTGGCTGCTTGACCAACACCACCTCGAAGCATCAGGTGACTTCTGCAGAGCGGCTGCAAAGCACAAATTTTGCAGAGCCAAGGGGGGGAGGGGGGAGCTGTTTCAGAGCAACTGACTGCCGAGCCAGGTGACTGCTTGGCAATGCTGTCCAGACAGGGCTCCCTGGAGCATGAGACTCTCCACATAACAGCCTCTTGCTATCTTTTCAGCAACCCTGCGAAGTAGAGCAGCATGGTAGCATCCATCCCCGTCCCCCCGCTTCCCTCACATTTCAGGTCCCTGGGCCCCTGGGCGGCAGAGAGAGAAGAGAGGCTCAGGAACCGCCTGGCGAGATGACAGGCCCTTTGCAGGTTGCTCAGCCTCTCTCTGCCCCACTGGTCTGAGTCTTGACTCAGGAGCAGCTCCTGAGAGGCAAGAGGGGAAAACCCAGGCATGCTGTGCAGGAAGCTGTGAGGCAATGGCAGTATGGGCAGTGGCGGAGAGACCCAGTGTGCTTTGGGTCCCCCCCCCAAACCCCACCCCACCCCCTGGCCCCACAGAGCAGACATTCTCCTCGTGCCTGAAATTCCTTTGCCAGGCGTCACTGGAAGGACATTACTCCAGGGATGCAAACGCTTCACAACAAAAGGGATGACTCACAGGCAGGGGGTGGAGTTCAGAAGTGTGCCTGGCCTGCCTTGTAGGGAAGTCACTCTCTTTCTCCTTTGCAAGGCAAGGAGGGCGGGCAGGCAGGCAGGCAGGCAGGCAGGCAGCGGAAGCGCTTTCCTCTCCTCTGCGAACAAGCAGGGTGAAGCCCAAAGCAGGAAAGCCAACAACGCCCCTGCCCTGGTGCCTGGGGAAAAGAGCTGGACGGAGCTGGGAGCGATAGCCCAGCTTTCCAGCAACAAGCCACGGCTTAAGGTGGTCCGCGCATGTGGCTTGTTAGGGAGAGACGGACTGGGATTTGGCTGTGACAGGGAGCCAAGACTTTCTGGCTTCCCCTTCCTCACTACCAGAGATGCCCACCAGAACACGTCTCCTTCATGGGAATCCAGAAACTCCAGCTGAGGGGTCCCCCCACCTTCTTTGGGTGGGGGCAATGGGCCCATTTGCCATCCTGAGGAAGTGCCGTGGGCACCCACCACAAAATGGCTGTTGATGTGGCAAGGCAGAAAACGGCTGCCACGTTTTCTAAGAAGGAAAAGAGACAGGCCACAAAATGGGCCTGCCCAGCCTACCTACCCCAAATGGAGCCAGATCAAGGGTCAGCAACCTTCTTCAGCCGTGGGCCGGTCCACCGTCCCTCAGACCATGTGGGGGCCGGACTATATTTGGGGGGGGTGAACAAATTCCTATGCCCCACAAATAACCCAGAGATGCATTTGAAATAAAAGAACACATTCTACTCATGTTAAAACACGCTGATTCCTGGACCGTCCGTGGGCCAGACTGCGAAGGCGATTGGGCCGGATCCAGTCCCCGGGCCTTAGGTTGCCTACCACTGAGCCAGATGCTCCATCTGCTGTGCACAGGTGGGAAATCAGGCTCCCAATCCTGGCACCCAATTCAAGGCGGCCTGTTTAGGGAGCAGGTGAGCTGCAGGCAAGGCTGAGACAGCGCAACCACCAGGAACGGAGCCGCTGCTTGATTGCTGAATGCGAGTGCAACCCGAGGCCCTGTGTCTGTGAAAGCTGGAGAGGAGAAGCTCAGGTCTGGCATGGGCTCACCTGGAGCAACCTGATGCCACGCCAGGCCACGGCTTCCCCTAGCCTTGGGCCACTGCCGCCGCCGCCACCTCCTCCTCTGCCCTGATTGGCCCCTCCAGCTCTGGGGCTGCTGCCATGAGACACTCAGGAACCCAGTGCAGGATGGCTCACGGTTCTGGGTAGAGCCTGGGGCTGTTTTGGCTGCTGTGCTGCCCTTTCAGGAGCCAGGCGGAAAACCCCTCAGGGGACACTGCAGCGTTCCACATGCCTGCGCCCAATCATTTTTGCTCCTCACAAAGTTACAGGGCAGGGCAGGATATAGAGATTGCAAAGGCATGTGAATATTGGAAAAACACAGAGGAGTCTCTGGGGTGGGGGGCAACAGGCAGCCCTGGAAAATGGTGGCCCCCGACCCACCTGGCACAGAGCAAAGGCCTTTGAGGACTGCCTATTCGGTTGCCCCAGGCGTGTCAAGGGAGGAGGGAGCGCAGCAGTGCCAGATGTTTTCCGATAAGCTGGAACAGAGCAGACCTGGGAGGAGGGGGGGGTCAGCCTGGGCAACATATGGAATTTTACTGCCCCAACACCCTGAACTATTCCACACGGAAAGAGAGGAGGGATGCTGTGTTATTGCCGCCTGACCGATGGGAAAACAGATTCTGCAGCAGGAACCGTGAACCTCACCTGTGATGAATTGGGCCAGCTCCTTGCCCTTCCCCAAAGGATCATTTAAGGCAGATTCAGGAACAAAAATGAAGCAATGCTCTTCCTCCTTGCTTGCCCTGCCTGCAAAATGTGCTTCAGCCCCTTTCTCTCCACTGCATGCTTGCGAGACAGGAATGAGAGGGCCAGACCCCAAGCAGGCCCACCAAGCCAAGGATCCTGCCTCCAAGGGTGGGCAGCCCTGGCTCATCGCAAGCAGAGCATCAGAATCCCCCCCCCAATAGTGGTTGGAGGATGGGGAGAATGTCCGAGAAAACACATCTCACATCCTTTCTGAAGCTTGCTTTTGGGTTGAACGCACTTGTCAACTATATGCTAAAAACAATATGCAACACAAATTACTGCAAGGCCTCTGAAGACAGATTGGAAACTTCAGCTGCTGCAGAATTCAGCGGCCAGGCTTCTCACCGGGGCAAGAAAGTTGGAGCATTTTGCACTGATCTGACTGCACTGGCTACCAATTAGTTTTCTAATTCAAAGTGCTTCTTTTGACCTGTAAAGCCCTAAACAGCTCAGGGCTGCAATACCTCAAGGACTGCCTCTCCCCATATGAAATCATCTTCTGAGGCCCTTCTTCATGTGCCACCTCCAGGTGAGGTCCGGAGGGTGGCAGCATGAGAACAGGTCTTTTCTGCAGTGGCTCCCCATTTGTGGAATGCTTTCCCCAGAGAGGTTTGCCTGGCACCTTCATTATATATTTTTATGTGCTAGGAAAAAACATTCCTCTTCTCCCAGACCTTTGGCTGATTAATATTCTACGGCTTTTACATGTTTTTGGGCAGGGAGGGGGTATTGTTTTGTTTTGGCTTTAACTATTTCTTTTGTGCTTTTATCCTGTATTTGTATTTTGTGAGACCTTCAGATCTTCAGATGAAGGGTGGTATTTAAAGTGAATAAATAAATAATAATAATAATAATAATAATAATAATAATAATAATAGCCTTCCACTAAGCGGCAGAGTGGCCTGAGTGTTGCTGCACCAAGGTAAACCCCAGACTCTGGGCAGAACCACCGGATTCTCCACTGGCTGCAGGTATGGTGCAAATCTACGTTTCTCCTGCCGGGATGGATGCAGGACACTGCCTTGAACCAAGTAAGACCACTGGAGTCCACCCAGCAACGGCTCTCTGGGGTTTCAGAGTACGGCGGCCTCTGCCAGCCTTACCTGGAGGTGCTGAGGATTGAACTGGCATGCTGAGCAAGTGCTGCACCACCGACCTGCAGCTCATAAAACAAGGTTCTAGTCATGTTTCTGGGTGAAAGGCTGATTTAAATACTGCAGGAAGCACAGCCTTATAGCAAGTTGGACAATGGGTCTGTCTAGCTTGGTGCTGTCTGCAGCAGATTCTCTTCCCAGTCCTGCCTGGAGACACCAGAGGCCTTCTGCATGCAGCTGACCAACAGATCTGGGGCCAGGCAGAGCTAAGCTGAGCCCCTCAAAAATTCGTTTGGGGCTGCCCATCACCTCCGCAGTCTCCTGGGCCAGTGCCTTGCTTAAAAACACCCTCCACAAACCATGCTCTCATTTCTTGCAAGCTGAATTCCGTGCCCTATGCCCCCTTCCACCTTGCCACCCCCTTTCAACTGAATATACCGTACTTATGCAGGATCACTGGCTGCCTGCAAATGCAGCCCCATCTTCTGCAGCCAA